TCAAACAGGACAGAGGACACAGCAAGCTAAGGTTTGTTTTATTATCACTGCTTTACTAAAAGCTTTAGATACTCTGCAGAGGATAACTGTCCAATTATAAAAAGAGTACAGAGCAATCGTTATCTAGGTGAGACATGTAAAGTCCCCTTTCCAAAAGAGTAATGAGACATACAAATTCTTTTTGCTAGATTAGGTGGGATTCCAATTGCTAACACTAGACAGAAGCTCATTCTTTCATGATTACTCAAAGCATTTTTCCTATCTCTTAAATTGAAAAATATACTTCCTTTCTTTTTACTTGCCTTGTTTTGAAAATATTCTAAGGCCAATTAAAAACAAAAACAAACCTGTACCACAACATTAAAAAAAAAAAAAGAAAAAGTGAGGAAATTAGAATACTCCATTATAGAATAGACTATACGGGCTTCCCTGGTGGTGCAGTGGTTGAGAATCTGCCTGCCAATGCAGGGGACACAGGTTCGAGCCCTGGTCTGGGAAGATCCCACATGCCGCAGAGCAACTAGGCCCGTGAGCCACAACTACTGAGTCTGCGCGTCTGGAGCGTGTGCTCCGCAACAAGAGAGGCCGCAATAGTGAGAGGCCCGCGCACCACGATGAAGAGTGGCCCCCGCTTGCTGCAACTAGAGAAAGCCGTTGCACAGAAACGAAGACCCAACACAGCCAAAAATAAATAAATAAATTAGAACAGACTATATTAAAATTATATATTATTCATAAACATGAATCAGAAATAATTCTCTGATTAATTCATCCTGTCCCTTCTCCTTACCATCCCTCCCCTTTCTGTCTTGTATCTTCAGTTGCCTTCACCATCTTTCCCTGGGCTCTCCCTAGTTTTCCATCTTTTTTTAATTTTTATTTTTAAATTTGTTTTATTTTTGGCCGCGTTGGGTCTTCATTGCTGTGCACGGGCTTTTTCTAGTTGCAGTGAGTGGGGGCTATTCTTCCTTGTGGTGCACAGGCTTCTCATTGCAGTGGCTTCTCTTGTTGCAGAGCACAGGCTCTAAGCACACAGGCTTCAGTAGTTGTGGCATGTGGGCTCAGTAGTTGTGACTTGCGGGCTCTAGAGTGCAGGCTCAGTAGTTGTGGCACATGGGCTTAGTTGCTCTGCGGCATGTGGGATTTGGACCAGGGCTCGAACTTGTGTCCCTTGCATCAGCAGGCAGATTCTTAACCACTGTGCCACCAGGGAAGCCCTGTCTTTTGATATAGTCTATTTTCCCCTACTCTTTTAATTTTGAAAAATTTCAAACCTTGAGAAAATTTATAAGAATAGTATAATTAACACTCATATATCATTTGCCTAGATTCACCAACTGTTATCTGTTAATTATCTCTCTTCATAGGGGTATATATATATATGTGTGTGCAATGTACAATATATATTATACATGATAATGTATAAAATATATAACCACGTATTTATGTAATTTATATAATTTTTACATATCATATTACACAGACACACCCCTATACAGAAAGATAACAGTTGGTGAATCCAGGTGCATGATATATGACTATTTATTATACTATTCCTGTAAATTTTCTCAAGGTTTGAAACTTTTCAAAGTAAAAAATATAATATATAATAAACGTACATAAATGTAAAAAATACTTACACATGCATAAAAGTTTTTAGTTTTTGACTGAGCAGAGTTAGCTGCAGACATTATACTTCACTCTGAGATACTTTAGCTTCAGCTTCCTTACATGAACATGGACATTATTCTACAAAACCACAAACAGGAAATTTTACTTTTGAATATAGTCCATATTCAATTACTATTCAATAGTCTGAACAATATCCTTTACAGCTGCTTCCTTTCCCTCTCCACATTGCATTTATTTATTTATTTGTTTTTAAAGATTTAATTTCATTTATTTTTGGCTGCATTGGGTCTTCGTTGCTGCACGCAGGCTTTCTCTAATTGTGGTGAGCAGGGGGCTACTCTTCGTTGCACTGTGTGGACTTCTCCTTGTGGTGGTGTCTCTTGTTGCGGTGCACTGGCTCTAGGCATGCAGGCTTCAGTAGCTGTGGCTCATGTGCTCTAGAGCGCAGGCACAGTAGTTGTGGCACAGGGGCTTAGTTGCTCTGCAGCATGTGGGATCTTCCTGGACCAGGAATCAAACCCATGTCCCCCGCACTGGCATGTGGATTCTTATCTACCACTCCACCAGGGAAGTCCCTCTCCACATTGCATTTAACTGTAATATCTCTTCAGTCTCCTTCAATTTATAACAGTTCCTCAGCCTTTTTATATAAGTATTTGCCTTTCTTCATGTTTATATTCTTGAAGAATTCCAGCTAGTTGTTTTGGAAAATGTTCCTCAGTTTGGATTTGAGTGTTCCTCCAGTGATCATCCTACCTTCAGTCCTTCTCCTTGCCAGTTTATTTTCTACAGTGTTCTGGAGTTAGTCTTTTTTTTTTAATTATTTTTTAAATTGATGTATAGTTGATTTACAATGTTGTGTTAATCTCTGCTGTACAGCACAGTGATTCAGTTATACACAGATATACATTCTTTTTCTTTTTAATATTCTTTTTCATTATGGTTTATCATAGGATATTGAATATAGTTCCCTGTGCTATACATTAGGATCTTGTTGTTTATCCATTCTAAATGTAATAGTTTGCATCTACCAACCCCAAACTCCCAGTCCATCACCCCCTCACCCCCACTCCCGCTCCACCACCCTTGGCAACCACAACTCTGTTCTCTATGTCTTTGAGTCTTGTTTCTGTTTTGTAGATAGGTTCATGTGTGCCATATTTTAGATTCCACATATAAGTGATATCATATGGTATTTGTCTTTCTCTTTCCGACTTATTTCACTTAGTATGATAATCTCTAGTTGCATCTGGAGTTAGTCTTTTAAAACAAAAATATGACCCTGATATTCCCTGTTTAAAAGCATTTGAAGGATACTTATCACCCACTGGATAAACCAAATTCCTTAGCATACCTTTCAAAGCTTTTCACAATTTAGCTCTAACAGCCCTTTGCAGGCTCATCTCTTCTAATGATTAACAGTTTGTACTTCAGGCATACCAAACACCAGATACTTTCTATAGTGTTATCAGCCTTTCCCCCTGCTTGGGGGAAAGGTCAATTTATGTAGCCTTCCAGATTCAGTTACTTTTTTTTTTTGCCACGCCTTGCGACATGCAGGATCTTAGTCCCCCAGCCAGGGATTGAACCAGTGCCCTCGGCAAAGGAAGGGCAGAGTCTTAACCACTGGACTGCCAGGGAGGTCTCTCTTTGTCTTTTTGGTGAGTGCTTATAATCCTCCAGGTACTATGGTAGGTGCTAGGATACAATATAGTCTCTGTCCTTATGGAATGTTTACTGGCTGATACATCATCTCTTTTGTGCTTCTATAGCACTTTATACACACCCTTATTGTGACATTTATTATATTGCATTGTAATTTTTGTTTGCATGTTTGTCACCCCACTGGATTTGAGTTTTTCAAGGGTAGGATAAATTTTATTCATCTCTGTTTCCCCAGGACCTAGAGTATAGCAGGCATTAAATACCATTTCATTCAATAAATGAATGAAAGAATAGCAAGTGTTCTCTATTTTGATTAAGCAATATGCTTTAATACAATTCCAGAAAAATCTCTTGGTGAGGGAGGTTTTTAATTCTTCAAATCATACTGCACCTTCATATGGTTAAAGGATGGGTCCAAAACTATTTCCAGTAGGAAGATGCAATAAATAATAGAGTAAGAATTACACTCCTCTGCATGAGTTGGCACTGCTGCTTCTATTAAAACTCCACCCTGTGATACAAAAAAGTGCTTTTGGTCAGGGGGTACTTACAAAGCTGTGGCAGCAACAGAAATTGAAACCAAGTCCTATGTCTAATTTATAATGAAAACTAATGCCCGGGTTTTTGTTTTTTTCTTCTTCCTCTTTTGTTCCCTTTTGGCCTAGCCCATACCTGTTGGATCACGTTTGCCTAATCAACAATAAGTAATGAAAGTCAGGTGCCTTAAGGCACAACTTTCAGATAAACATCACTGTTTATCTGCTGTTCTGAATTATCTTCCAGGGTAAAATGACCTTTATAGATTATGTTGACACAGATCCCAGGGGCCACAGACCACTGGACTAAAGACAGGGTAGACCGCAGATGACTAAGATGATTAACCTCAGCTCCTTTGTTCTTCCCGTTTAAAAACCCCTAACTCAGAGACCAAGTTGGAGTGACTTGTCTCCCACTTCCTCGCCTGGCTCCCTGCAATAAAATCTTTGCTGCAAGCTCCCGCTGTCAGTTTGGCTTTCTGCACTGCGGGCACAGGAGCCCTTTGTTCGGTTTAAAAATGACAATTGTATTTCTTCAATATTGTCCTAAAACACATTTTTATGGAAAAAATGTGTTTACACTCCCACAAACAGCTTTCTGTCAATTAATCACTTTCCATTACCAGTTCAACTGATTCCTCTTGAACATCCATAGGGCTATTGCTGGTACTTGCTTATATCTAAATTACATTTTATGTTGTGCAGCATTATTTTGCTAGCTCCTGTCTTGTTTCTCTAGAGATTGCGGTTCCCTAAAGCTTAGTCCAGCACAGTACTAGTCACATAGAAAAAAGGACACACTTTTTAAACTGATACTCTCACAGAAAGTCGGACGATATTAAGACTATATTAAGGAACATAGTACTACTCCCTAACAAAAAGTGTATGTTCTCAAACTTAAAGTGCATAAGAATCACGGGGCCGGGGGAGGTCTTGTTAAAATGCATATTCTGATTCAGTAGGTCTGGGTGGAGCCAGATAATCTGTATTTTAAACAAGCAGCCAAGTAAGTGATGCCGATGCTGTTGGCCCGCGAACCACGTTTGGAACAGCAAATATGTAAAGGACTGTGCAAAAGGAAGGCGACTTTGCTCCAAAACATATTTTTGAAGACCGTTAATTAAATAGAAGTATGATTAAAGTGGAGCCAGGCGGAGCACTTCTTACCCAGCCTTAAACCTCCTCTTTTCCGATCCGTCTCCCCTCCGAGTCCAGCGAAACTTCCCACCTCTGTAAACCGTAAGACCACAAGCAGCAACAGGCCCAGCTACGGAAGATGCGAGCCCAGGTAACGTAGAAAGATACCCCTGCACTTACTAGGCTAAGAGTCCGGGGATTTGATGGGGTCCCGGCAGTGGCCTCTCCCTCGCCATAAAGAAAAATTCAAAATTAAAACCTTATCGTGGAGGGACCAATCGTAGCCTTGGTCTTTCCACAATTCGCTCTGCGTGTAGTGTAGGATCACAGCTTGGCTTGTGATTGGCTGAGGTAGAACCACACTCCGGCCAATCAGAGCTGAGGCGCTTCTTGTATGAATATGGAGGAAGGCGGGAGCGAAGTGGAGGGGAAGCTGGAGAGGAAAGGTGTGTCACGTCCCCTTTGCTGTTTCTGGAAGCTTTTGTGTAATTGGTTGGCTCTTCTTCCGATTACACCAATCGCAAGCTCTTCTCTGCTAAACTCTAACTGTGAAATTGAAAGTAGAGATGAGGGTGCAGCCAATGGAAAAAAAAAAGGGTACAGGAGCCAATCCTCCTGCGGCGTTTTGTGTCCTTGCCCAACAGGAAAAGGTGTTTCATGCGGAGGGGCGTTTCCCAGTCGCCAATGGGCGGGCGCCGGTGAAGCGGAGGAACCAATGAGCGCGAGACGTTGAATGACAGCTGTCCAATAGGGACCCTCAGTGCTAAGTACGGTTTGCGGCTTAAGCGCCGCCGCGGTCTGAGGAATGTCAACTATTCAACATGGAGGCGGAGGTCGATAAGCTGGAACTGATGGTGAGTGTAAAATGAAGGAGATCTACTGGGTAGTTTATTCTTCCCCGATGCCCTCCAATGTGGAACGCAATTTGGAGTCGCCGGAAACCCTGGGCGGAGGAGGCTGGACTAGACTCGAGCTCCTCCTCCTGCACCAAAGGGAGTCGCCGCCGCCTGGTCTCTTAACCGCCGCAGGGGGAAGGGGTTACATCCGGGAAACTCGTGAAGGAAATGGCGGGAGATGCTGGGGGTCCGGGGCCTTTGGAATTCCTTGTTCCTCGCCCTCACCTTTTCGCCTCTCAAGGAACTGTGGCTGGTGTAAACAGCGTTCTGTGTATTTCCACCAAAAAGACCTGACTGTAATGGTCTCTAAACGCCCCAAGAAGGGAAGAGGTTGTTCACAGTCCGAGAAAGGGGGATGGAGGGTGGGGAATAAACAGAGAAGGGGGGAGAGAAATCCCTTTAGGGCTGAAGCGTTCATATTCAGCCCAGGGCAGGCTGAGAAAGGATGCGAGAGTTGCGTGCACAACTTCCTAGCGGCCAAGGAAGCCCCTAGACCAGTTTGGCCCATCGGTGGGGGAGACGTGTGAGCCTTTGGAATCTCAACCACGAGCTTCTTTTCCTCGAGCGCGGGCGGGACCTGGGACGTGGGAGACTCCGCTGCTCTGGAGTTGCCTAGTTTCATTCATTGTGAAAGTAGGGGGCGGGGGCGAATAATTGGGAAGGACTCCCGCGGCTGCTTGGCCTGCTCTAGGGCGCCAAACTGGAGGGCCGTACTAGTTTTTTCTTTGGATTCTTCCCTCACTTGTCCTCTTTATTCTCTCCCTCCCATCCCTAGACTACTGGCTGGATCGCCCGCGCTTTTTTCTTAGTTCCCTTGTTTTATCTTCAGTCCCTTTACCCCCAACGCATTACGAGTGTTTGGATTGGGCTGGCTTCCTTTAAAATGGGGAAGTTGGAGAACGCACCCATCATTGAACTCCTGTCCGGTTTTTTGTTAAAGAAAAACAACAAGATTAAGTAAAAAAGCCAAAATCTCCATCACAATCCTCTCCTCTTCTCCCTGCCATTCCTTGCCGTTACTCCTTAAGTATCATTTGTGCCTGTGCTACTCTTCTCCAAGCTGAACCTTGGGTCTCTTTAATATCTGCAACGTGTAGTGATCTTGGAAGACCCTCACCCCCAGAAAATGCGAGACCTTGATATATCTTATTACTGTTTTCTTCTGATGTATTAATGAATTGTAGTGGCTCTCATATACAAAATTGACTTTCATTTGCTTCTAACGTTTTGAATTTTGATTTTCTTTGTGGGGTGTGTGTGTGGGAATTGGGAAGGTGAGAAATGGCAGCAAAGAAGGAAGAATTTCCTGCAGCTTTCCAAACCCTAAATAATGAACTTTTAGTTCAAAGTTTTATTATTCTTATCATTAACTGTCTTTCAAAAAACAAAACAAAAAAACAGTGTTAAGTATTGTAATTTGATTCTACCAACAGGCACAGATATTAGCATTGTCTTGCCCATCTCCTCCATTATGAATTCCTCCCTCCAGATGGATATTTCTGCCTAATTGTAAGATGCTAAATGATACTAATTCTTCTTTTAACAGTTTTTTTTTGTCCCTCTCAAGTTGGCTTTTAATTTTGAGGTACCAATGAAGCCTTTTTTGGAGTTTGCATTAGAGTCAATAGTCTCACAGGACATGTTTAAGATTGAACACATTTTATTTTAAGGGGAAAGCAATTACGTGTACATCTTGAAAAAAAAGTAGGTTTTAGAAAATTATGAGGTAGCCAGACTCGAACTTTTAGGTGTTTGAATGATGGGGTAGTTTTTAAAAATTCTTTTTATGAGAGGAAGAGAAGAAAACAGATCTTCTTAAATTCCTTTTAACTAACTTAGTCATAACTTTTTTTTTTCCTGTTCAAATTATTAGTTTCTTTCCATAATCATTAGGGTTTAAAAATTGTATTTGAACAATTACACTTTTATTATTACTGCTTTGTACTGGCTGGGTAGTATAAGACCATACATGTCACCTTTAGATTTGCCATGTGCTTTTAGAAAAAAATGTTATATCTGTGAACTGGTTTATTTTCTAAGATTCCAAAGGTAAATGATTTCCTGTACAATCCTCTGAGTTTTGGTTTTATATTACTTGAATAAAGGATTTGTTGAGGAACTAATGTTGAATATTTAATAAGTGAAATAGAATACCTATTATCTAACTTTGAAAAGAAAGTACTTATCTTAATTTTTTAAGATATCAGACAAATATCCTGATCCTCTTAAGTTTAAAATTTTCATATATTTTTCTAGTTTTAACCCGATTCAGAAAATTAAACATTTGTTTTTTTAAATTTTATTTATTTATTTTTTTCTTATTACTTATCTGTTTTATACATATTAGTGTATATGTGTCAATCCCAATCTGCCAATTTATCCCACCCCCCATTTCCCCCCTTGGTGTCCATATGTTTGTTCTCTACATGTGTCTCTATTTCTGCCTTGCAAATAGGTTCATCTGTACCATTTTTCTCGATTCCACATATATGCTTTAATGTATGATATTTTAAACAATGGAAAGTGTTTTTGCATCAGTCAACATTATTAATGGAGGAATAAACTCATTGTAGGGTAATCTTTGTTCCATAACTTTTTTCCCTTCACTTATTGACTGAGTGGTATTTGGCTAGTGTCTTTCTTTTGTAATACAGGTAGAGATTGTACACAAAAGGTAGTGCAATGTGATAATATGATACTATTTCTATTTCTGTGTTGACATCTGACTTCACAATGGTTTCTTACCAGTTAAAAGGTTAGAATGTTAATTGGCTTGAATCCAAGGAAACCTCTTAAATCTCAGAGCTGTCTCCTCCTCCCATTATTATTTTCTCTTTGATTTTTCTGCGCTTGAAGGAAATGGAGATGTTCCTCTTATATTTAAGATGTTTTAGGGGTTATCTGAAATTTTAAAATCCCCTTTCATAGCATTCAGTTAAGTAGCGCTAATGGTATCCTGTTTACGAGACATTGATTCCCTGGAAGTCTGTGAACTCTTGATATAAGATGGTAAGTGCTTTTTATATTCTAGTTTAGATTCGAGAGAGATAGGGTTTATAGAAATTGGGAAATATTATTTCACTTTTCATTTATTTTCTTTGGTAATCTTACTCAAAAGGCTAATTTTATATGGCAGTTAATCGGTCAATTGCTATGGAGGAGCTAACCAACACATCTCAGCAGAACAGGAATATTTTCACAACTTTGCCTTAAGTAGTAATTATAACCTGTTTTGTTAATACCAGTTCTGAGGTATTAACAATACCCATGTGAATAACTTATACAGCTTATAACATATTTACAAAATTCCTTTCTATATCTATGCATGTTTTCAGTTTGCATATTAATCATAGGTTAGTCGTCAAAAACCAATACCACTTTGATATTTAAATCCTAGTCTTCTTTTTTTTTTTTCTTTAACATTGATATAAATGTTCTTAGGTTTTGGATGTCTTCTGTCCAAAGAGGCAACCCTTCTTTGTATTCTTTTCACACTGAAGCTTCAACTGATGCAAGATGCTCTTGTGTGTCTTTCCTACCTATTACTGCTAACGAATGCTCTGACTTTATTGCACTACTGTACTTTACAGCTAGCAGTGCAATAGTATTGTCAAAGCATCTGAAAGCAGAATGTACACCAGAATTTTGGTTCTTGCCTTACATCTTTCTTCAGTGTCTGTGAGTAATTTACCACAACCTTTGTTGCTGAAAACTATATAATTTTATTACAAAGTATATGTTTTAGAAAGTTATAATTTGAAAAAAAAAATGTTTTCAACTAATTAAAAATTCACCACTGTAATGCATTATGAAACACACTGAGAGGATACATTTTATAGCTAAAGTTGTTATGGCTTATCTAAACAAGTAGTACTTTGTCATTTGCTTCTTTCTGTTACAGATTTGGATAGGTTCTGACAAATCTCAGGTTTTCTTTAATTGAGTTTGAAGATGAATTAGTATGTGATGAATACAATCTTTGCTGTATATTTCCTGTGGTAACCTGCCTCAAATCTTAAGTGGTGTTAATTTTGTGTATTGTATAGTAAATGCTTGAGTTTAAAACTTTAGAATGCATGTCTTAATGTTCTTTTTGTAATTATGAGATATAATAAAATGTGACTCCATCACTTGTTTTTTTGTAATCAGTTTGAGATAATTTGCATAGAGTAAAACTCAACAGTTTTAGTTGTACAATTTCATGAGTTTTGATAAATGTGTACAGTCAT